GGAAAAATGGTTGACATGATAACTGATAATATACTCACACAAAAATACACACACACACACACATATATATATATATATATATATATATTTACACAAATCCTTCATACCAAAAAAAAAATTACACAAATCCCCAACACGCGATTTTATAAACCTTCGTGGATTTCACAATTTCTATCTTTATCCTTAGAATAAATATTGGAAATTGAAACTATTTTTAAAATTCAGATCCTATAATTCCTAACCCTCGACAAGCACTGATAACAATCCATATTAAAAATTCTGCCATATAAAATATTTTAGTAAATACACAAAAATGTTATATCGACACCAACATTTGTTATGTTTTTGACCCACAACGGCCCAAATGTATGCTCAATTAATTTCATTAGGCCCATCAAAGCCCAATATACTGTTCTTGATTAGGCCTTAACTGAGCCTATGTAGACTGTAGACAATCTGCAGGAAAAAAAAAAAACAAAAAAACAAAGAACGAAAACAACGAAGAAGCCGCCCTCTTTCTGCGATTCTTTTTTCATTTCTCCATTTTCTTCGTTTGCATCTCCCGACAGATCCAAACCAACGAATCTCGATGATCGGCCGGAAAGACTTATCTCCGGCGACTGCTTGAATGGTTCCGTTTCAGCCGTCGTTATCCCGACGATGAGACATCCGGCGGGCGTCACCGTCTCCTCTCTCTGCTCGTCATCCGTCAACCTCCTCCGTCGACGTCCGTTCTCCTCTGCGTCTCCGCTTCAGCATTCTCCCCTGGTTTCGGAATCTGATTTCTCGGATCTTCCCTCCCGCCTCCTATCGATCCTATCCAAACCGAACTGGCAGAAGAGCCCATCTCTGAAATCCTTGGTCCCGTCTATATCACCCTCACATGTCTCCACACTGTTCTCCATGAATCTAGATCCTCATACAGCTCTGAATTTTTCGTATTGGATCTCGCAGAGGCCGAAATTCAAGCACAATGTTTGTTCTTATTCGTCTTTGGTTATTCTGCTGGTTAACCATGGATTCACGGCTGCTGTGTATAAGATTAGGATATTGATGATAAAGAGTTGTGGTTCAGCGCGAGACGCCATGTTTGTTTTGGATTTCTGTAGGAAAATGAACATGGATGATGATTCTGAAATTTCATACAAGTTCACAGTCAGGTGCTATAACGAATTGTTAATGTCATTGTCTAGGTTCGGGTTGGTGGATGAGATGAGGCGTCTCTATACGGAAATGTTGGGGGATAAGGTTTCACCTAATATTTACACGTTGAATACAATGGTGAATGGATATTGTCAGCTTGGGAATGTGGAAGAGGCGAAACAGTACGTGAGTAAGATAATTATGGCTGGGTTGAATCCTGATACCCACACTTATACCTCTTTGATTCTGGGCCATTGTCGAAACAACAACGTAGATTCTGCTTTTCAGGTTTTCAAGGAGATCCCTCAGAAGGGTTGCCGTAGAAATGAGGTTTCATATACGATTCTCATTCATGGTCTTTGTGAGGCTAGGAGAATTGATGAAGCTATGGGTTTGTTCTTGAAAATGGGGGATGAGTACTGTTATCCATCTGTTCGTACTTACACTGTGCTTATATCTGCATTATCTGGATTAGGGCGGAAGTCTGAAGCTTTGAATTTATTCAAGCAGATGTCACAGAGAGGCATTCAGCCGAACAATCATACATATACTGTACTTATCGATAGTTTATGTAGTGAAAGAAAGTTTGATGAAGCAAGAAGAATGTTGGATGGTATGTTGGAGAAAGGGTTGGTACCAGGTGTAGTCACATACAATGCTTTGATTGACGGGTACTCTAAAGAAGGGATGACTGAAGCTGCCCTCGAGGTTTTGGAATTGATGGAATCAAATAACTGCAGCCCAAATACACGCACTTACAACGAATTGATACATGGATTTACTAAGCAGAAGAGCGTGCACAAAGCAATGGGGCTGCTTAATAAGATGATAGAGCACAAGTTGGATCTTGATCTGGTCACTTACAATTCATTAATCCAGGGGCAGTGTAGATCTGGTCATTTAGATAGTGCATATAGGTTGCTTACTTTGATGACTGATAGCGGTTTGGTTCCAAACCAGTGGACGTATGGTATTTTGATAGATTCCCTTTGTAAGAGTAAGAAGTTGGAAGAAGCTCGTGGGCTGTTTGATTCTCTCAAGGGGAAAGGCATAAGCGCCAATGAGGTCATGTACACTGCTCTGATTGATGGATATTGCAAGGCCGGGAAATCGTATGATGCTATGCTTTTGCTTGAGAAAATGTTGAATGAGAAGTGCTTACCAAACTCGTGTACTTACAATGCCCTGATAGATGGGCTTTGCAACGATGGGAAATTGCTAGAAGCAGTATCTCTGGTGGAGAAGATGGATTTGCAGCCTACAGTGTATACATATACCATTCTGATTGAAAGAATGCTAAAAGAAGGAGATTTTGATTACGCTCATAGATGTTTTCAGCAAATGTTGTCCTCGGGACTTAAGCCAGACGTGCATACCTACACGA